ATTTTTGTTGCTAGAGATAAGCTTTAATTTTTCTCTAGAACCTAAGAACTTGAACCTCTTGAACTTCTATGCTTGTATTGCCAATCTTTAAAATAATTCATCATATACTGATTTCTTTATTCTGACTACTAAATATTTATAGTTATATACGTATGCCAGCTAGCAACTGCATGAAAGGTGCCCTCTGGTTCAGTTGGGCTTTCTCTGCTCTTTAGCAAATGATTCTTTCTTTTTGTTTCATTTTGGATTGCTCACAATGACTGTTTCAAGAAATTTATATTCTTTCCAAATTTTAACATTAACTCCATCCCAGAGCTTTCAGCAGACTAGTAAATAAATAAATTCACTGCATGTAATCCAAATAAAGCTTTAGTTTACATGTTTTGTTTATGTTGATTTTATTTGTAAGGTAGGGAGACAGAGCCATTAAAACAAAATAAGAAATCTTCTTTCCACTGGTTACTCTCCAAATGTCTGCAAGAGCAAGGGCTCAGCGCTAAGTTTAGGAGCCTAGAACTCAACATGAGTTTCCCACGTGACTAGCAGGAATCCACATATGTAAGACATCATCTGCTCCCTCTGCAGAAGCTCATTGGCTTATTAGGATGTTTAAAACATAAGTAGAATCTGGACTCTAACTCAGGCACTCCACTACAAATTATTCGTGTCCTAAGCGGTGGGTTAAACCACCATATCGAGTGCCTGCTCCAAAATGAGCTTTTTTTAAAAAAATATTTTCCTTTATGCTTGTGATTCTCTTGTATCATCAGTTATACAGACTGTACTTTATTCTAGTCTAAAGAAGAAATTGATTTCTCTTATTTCACTTAAAAACAATGCAGTTTTCTTCAGATAAAAAATAATATGTTTTCTGACCCTTAATTTCTAAAATTATTTTTTCATTGAATAGGAAAAATATTTTCAAAATCATAGATGTATGACAAAGAAAATTATAAATTATAATAAATCATCTAAAGTGAATTAAAACATATGAGTATTTGAATTCTGTTTTTTAAGCTTATCGTTATATGCTTTCTTTTCCAATAGGAAGAATGGAGAGTTTGGTGGTAATTAAGATGAGTCATTTAAGTGCAAAATACTGTATCAATAAGTGAAATGACAGGCTAGATCAAAAAATTATGAGACTCATGAAAGGGACAGCTAAGGGTTCCCTTAGGGTTGAAGAAAGCATCAAAGACTCTAGATTGTAAAAGAAAGTACGACTTTAAGTTGAATGGACTGTGATGTAATTTATATTCTGAGATGTGGTCATATATCATAAAGTATTACATTAATACTTAGCTAATATCTGGGTTTCATTGCAACCAAAATAGAGCAGCCAGAAGCTTAACACAGTGAACAAAAAAGAAACAATGAAGGATGCGACATTTAAAATCATGGTTATCCTTGAGGATCAGAAACAATCTCTACATGCCCTAAGTCAAAGAGTGCACATAGACACAGGGAGAAACATTTCATTGTATTGACCCAAACAAGTCATTCAATCAATAAGAAATACCATAACAGCAATTCCCAGGGTGGGGTGTACACGGGGATCTGTATCTGGAATAGTGAAAATGTATACAGAATGTTACAAATGAATTAGTGCGTAGACTGTTCTATAGTTTGGTTTGACTCACTGTCTCTTATTAGATGCAGTCTATGCTTTTATTAGCAAGATTATTCGGAAGTGCTGTGTTCATCTTACAGCACTATTTTTGTTAGTTCCCAGCATTAGTTAGTTCTACTATTGGACTTGTTACTTTAGTAAGAGGACTTTCGCCAGATTTTCCCAGATTAAAATTTTTCTTTCTCTGGTTTTACATTACTATTTGGGAAGGTCAAACATGGCTATCTCTTTTACTTCTTGCTGGTTGTGCAACATAAACCACAAGATAGTATTAAAAAATGCCTCTGATGTGCTCTTCTCTTACCACCTGTTGCTTCCTCAGCTGCAGCAGTTCAGATATGGGCCTGCACAAACTAAGGCAGGGTCAGCAATGATGCACCCGAGCAGTAATGACATCTCCTCCGTGTCCAGTTTTGGATACCTCACAGAAGTATCAAGATCCTTTTTTAAAAGTCATTTAAAATATCAACATGTAAAAATGCCCCCCTTTCTGATTATACCAAGGGGGTATGTGCTTGTGGTGGCTGATAAACTTGGATCCTGTCTTACTGCAGTAAAAAATCATTTTAAACACAAGTGATGGGTAAATCAGAAAAGAACAGATAGGCTAAGAAAAAACATTCAACGTTTCAACTGATATAAAATATGCATATGAAAATTGGATCACACTTCCTTTGCCTTCTTTTTAACTAGTAAAAGTACTGAAGAGAATATATTACTAATTAACTCAATGAAGCTGTGGATAAAACGATACTTGCACGTCTTAAAAATGAAAGTTGGAATAATTTTTCTGGAAATCACTGTCTCAGTTTAAACCTGCATATCTTTTTGACCTTTGACCTTTAACTTTAACATAGAAATACTCTGTGTCCATCAACTGGCAATTAACCGAATTTTAATTTTTAAAAAATGAATCATACCTTTTAAATTAATAAAACTACTAAAACTACTGTTACAGAAAGATACTGTGGGCACAACGCAATAGCCCAGTGGCTAAAGTGCTTGGATTGAATGCAAAAGGATCTCATATGGGCACTGATTGTTATCCCAGCAGCCCTGCTTTCCATCCAGCTCCATGTTTGTGACCTGGGAAAGCACTTGAGGACAGACCAGAGCCTTGGGACACTGCACCCACGTGGGAGACCCAGAGGAGGCTCCAGGTTTCTGGTTTCGGGTCGGCTGAGCTTGGGCTGTTGCGGCTGCATGGGGAATGAGTCATTGGACTGAAGATCTTCCTCTCTGTCCCTCCTCTGTATATGACTTTGCAATAAAAGTAAATAAATCTTGGGCCCGGCGCGATAGCGTAGTGCTTAAAGTCCTCGACTTACATGCACCAGGATCCCATATGGGCTCCAGTTCTAATTCCAGTGGCCTTGCTTCCCATCCAGCTCCCTGCTGGTGGCCTGGGAAAGCAGTCAAGGACCGCCCAAAGCTTTGGGACCCTGTACCTGCATGAGAGATCTGGAAGAGCTCCTGGCTCCTGGATTCGGATTGGGTCAGCTCCAGCCATTGCAGCCGCTTGGGGAGTGAATCATTGGACGGAAGCTCTTCCTCTCTGTCTCTCCTCCTCTCTGACTTTGTTGTTTGTTATTTTTTGAACCTGCCATTGATACTGTCTCAACCCAGATGTTTCGAAGAATGGAACTTGCATTATTTTTAACATATTGTTTACCCAATACTATGTCAATTAATTCCATAATGTTGTATATTGATACTGAGGCCTTGTTGGGGCTTTTAACTGACCGGATCTTTACTCTGTTAGACCTATCTTCAGACCAGAGAAGGTCTCCCCAAGAGGCCACTGAACTTATCTGGACAATAAGACGCTGAACTTCATGCTAGGCATGTGTTTGCAAGCAATGAATCTCAACTGAACTTGAACTATGGTTATGCAACAAGGTGGAGGAATCCACCATGGGGGGAGGGGTATGGGAGGGGTGGAGGGAATCCCCAGCGCCTATAAAACTGTACTACATAATACAATGTAAGCAACAATAAAAAAAAAAAACATAAAAAAATAAATAAATAAAGTTTGAAAAACACAAGATACTGCAAAACATATGGATTTTTCAACTTTATTGTTTAACAAATATGTATTGTGTAACAAATATAAATTCTATATATTCTGGTATACACTTAACCCTTTGTGACATTACTGTAACAAAATAGTTAACATACTCATCACCTCATATAATTACACATTTTGTGTTACAAATATTTATGAGCTACTATCTTATACAACTTTAAGTATATACTGTTGTTAACTATATAATGTGTCCAGAACTTAATTATCTATACTCACAAGTTTGTGTCCTTTCAAAAAATCAGGGTAAGTTGAGTTACAAAATAACCATATTTTGATAAAAAAAACTTGAAATTCATGCAATCCTTTTAGTATAAATCTTACATATGCTTGTTGAAGATCCTTCATAGATAAAACATTTTAAAAGTTTTCATCTGTTGACACACATAAATTATGTCTATACCTTACTTGGAAATTCACTGCAATGAACATAGGAGAGCAAATATCTCCTTAACAAATTTCAAATATTTTTGATAAATAATGTAAGTGAAAGTGCTACAGGAATTAGTAATCATATTTTTACATTTCTGAGAAAACCTCACAAAACTTTGTATAATGTTTCTTTGAAAATGGACTTCACTGCTGACTGTATAACAATGTCAGTACACCTGAGATCACTCAGTTACACAACTAAAATAACAAAATGAGAAAGTCTAGATTATGTATACTTTACCACAGAAACTAGCTATTCATCAAACTGAAGACATTAATCATACAGGCTAAAATTTCTTCTAAAATGGCTGTGGACAGAAAGAATATAACTTTTCAAAATTGCATTAAAAGGTTGCAAAACCGGCTAACACAAACACAATCTACTTAATAAATTCATGTTGCTATATGCTAAATTACCTAAACTTAATAAATCTGTAAACGCAATAAAATCATTTATAAAAACTCTCCAGTTAAAACAAAGTATCAGAAATAATTCTTACAAATGACATAAAGGCAATTTTTAGTGAACTTACTAAACAGGCAATAGCAAAAAGCAAAATCAAGAATGCACATTACATGTAAATAAAGCCACCTACAGATAAAACACATATTTGAAGAATATTAATTTCTATAAATAATAGAAATTCTATGCAAGTAAATGACTAAAGTGTTGTAGAAATCTGCTCTTTGGCAGCCACAACAGGTGGAAGCCCAACAAGATGGAGGTCGGGAGGGTTCTTTAGGTTCTTGTATGGAGAAGCAGGGGAGGACCATAGCGGGGGAACTAGAAACAATAATAGTAATAGTGACCTGACCCAGTGCTGACCAGAGAAGTCCCTGAAGGTAGTAGGCTGATCAAGAGCATATCTTCATGTTGGTGCCATTGCGGAACAGCCGGAAGAAAGGAAAGACGCGTTCACCTAGGAAGGTAACTGTGAATCTGCGGATACGGGTTAGATTGTGCAAAAGGTAGAATTCCATGTGCCCGGCCTCATAGTCCAGATACACGCCTAAACGTCGCTTTATATTGTCTAAACTTGGAATTATCTCCTCCTGTGACTTCAGTTGGCTGATCATACACCATATTTTTCCGGGGGAGCTTTGCCCCCAGGACAGCTGAGGCTGGCTGAGATGATTACAGCCTGAGGGTCTGAAATTGCTGCCATCCAGAAAGGACCCTCTTGAGCGCATCTTTTGCTTATGAAAGAACGATTCATCAGCAACACCTAATGCCCAGCCGGTTGGTCCACTCACTTCCACCTCCCAGTAGTGCCGGCCAGAGCAGAAGCCCTGGGATGCCAGCACGTAATAATTACTAAAGGATCTTTTGGGATAGAACTCATCTTCCAGCTGCTGCCCTGGCAAGTGGACCATTCTACAGTCAGTAGACAGTATCAGGTTTGGATGAGCCGTGTCAGGATCCAGTGTCAGGTCCTCTTTCACAAATGTACAGAATACTTGCTTCATCTTCCTCACCACGGCAGCTTTCAGGTTTTCACAGATTTGGGGTTGGTATGTGACACAGGACCAGCTAGGAATGAGGGGCTCCTGCCTTACCTCCCTACACTTATTCAAAGTCTTTTTGATGTGATTGAGCTTCTGGAAGTCCATATCACCACTCTGCTCCTCAACCTGGGCCAGCAAGTGGCTTAGCTGAGTAGCCCGCACTGAGAGGTCACTGGCTGCTGATGACATCTGCATCATTTGGGTTTCATTAATATGTCGGAGACCCTGATCCAGCTGTGCTTGCTCCTTGAGCAGAAAATCGGTCAGCTGTATAAATATAAAGGCCACAGATGTCAGCTCTGACTCCATCCGCTTCTGTAGCTCTGTAATTCGCTTCTCCTCCCTAGCCTTCATATTCTGCACGCGCTCTAGGCAATTTCTCAGTGGTTCTAATTGCCCCCGTAACTTATCCTTGTACTCTTGCACCACCTCATCCAATGGAACCACGCTGTGATGTTTGTGACTTTCAGATTCTTGGCATGGCACACAGATGGGCTCTTCATCTACCTGGCAGAAGAGCTTTAGGACTTTTTGGTGTTTGGGACAGATGCCATACTCGCTTACAGGAATCTGAACGCCAGGCATTGGGTACATCTGCCGAATCACCAGAACCATGTTGGCTAGCTGCAGATTGGGGCGGAAGGTCCGCCGAGAAATGCTCCTTTGACATTGAGGACAGGTGTAGCACTTCGTAGGTGCTGGAAATGGGGGCACAGGATGGTTTGGGTCCAATTCTCGTTGCTTGTCTTCCTCCTGCACTTCCTCAACCTCTTTATTTTCTACCCTTAGGTTATCCTCCGTGCCCCCCATAGAATAGCCTTGATTGTCCTCACTCTCCTCATCCCTCGCATAGCCCAAGTGGCACCCATGGCTGACAGGATTACAGGATTCACGTTCTTTCTGCTCTTCCCAGTCTCCTTCAGAGTACTCTTCCTGTTTAGGGTTGTTCCAACCCTCATCATTCCACACAGGCTCCACTACTTCCTCCTCCCTCTTCTCCTCTCCATTCTCTTCCCCTCTTTTTTCCTCCTCCTCCTCCCCGTTATCCTTCCCTCCTCTCTCATCTACGTTTTCCTCCTTCACCCCACTTCCCTTCTCATTTCCGCTCTCATTCTCTCCGATCTCCTCCTCCCCTCCATTTCCCTCCCCTCCTTTTTCCTCCTCCTCCCCATTCTTCTTCTCTCCGCTCTCATCTTCTCCGTTCTCACCCTCTCCATTCTCCTCCGGCCCCTCGCTCCCATCCTCTCTGCTCTCATTCTCTTCCCTCTCCTCCTCCTCTCCGCTCTCCTCTTCCTCTCCACTCTCCTCCTCCTCCTGATCTGACTCATCTGTATCCAGCTCATCCTCCCCTCCCCACAATTCTTTAATGCACACTCGGCAAAAGTTATGCCCACAGCCAATAGACACTGGGTCTGTGAAGTAATTAAGGCAGATGGTGCACAGTGCCTGTTCTCGGAGGATCCCTATAGGATCTTCTATTTTATCAATGGCAGCCATCTTAGTAAGTATTCAAATCAGCGGCTTTTAAGTGGGGAGGGAGCGCCAGGAATCGTAACTGTCAGATTTCAGGGGATTTGGCTTCACGCTCAGTCCTTTCCATATCTTGCCACAAGTACAGGCAGAAAAATATCATCTAGACAACACACCACTCAACACAAACTGCCCTACTCCATTACAGAACTGAGCATTCAAGACCAACAGCCAACGTCGTCACAAACTGCCTACCCTCTCTATTTCCGGCTTTCGTCCTCCCCACTTCCGGTTTCCTTTACAACACCTCCGGGCATCTTTGTATAACATTGTTACAACAAGTTTATAAGTTCCTACCAAGATTGTGCTACACCGCTTTACCACCACTCTGCAACACCTCATGTCCCTCCAACATCTTCTCACCTTCCTATCGCCAGTCCCCATCCTCAATCCCTTGCACCTGTCAACCTTCCCCAGGGTGACAGGAAATGGTAAAATAACCTGGTAGGATGGCTAGGATATAAATATTCATGTCTCTGGATGTAAGAGAACTGAGAATACTGAAAAGGACTACCCACGTTTATCCCCTCTCCACCACTAGGGAAAAAATGCAGCATAATAGGTGTGACAACCAGCTGATGTTGGTTCTGAGACCACATTGACCAGGTGCCAGTCTTACAAACTGGCCATGGAATTACTCCCTGAAACACTTGGAATTATGGGAGTTGAAAATTACTTTATGGGCCTTATGAAGTCGGATTAGTTTGGTCACATCGATATTAGTCCACCTCCTCCACAATATCAATTACAACTTACAGTTTTGAAAAATACAGCTTCTCAAAGACATTTTGTGCGAGCCCGTTGTGGTAGCCTAGTGGCTACATCCTCACCTTGCATGCGCTAGGATCCATATGGGCAATGGTTCTTGTCCCAGCTGTTCTGCTTGCCATCCAGCTTCTTGCGTGTGGCTTGAGAAAGAAGTTAAGGATGGCCAAAAGCCTTGGGACGCTGCACCTGTGTAGGAGATCTGAAAGGAGCTCCTGGTCTCAAATCAACTCAACTCTTGCCATTGCAGCCACTTGGGGAGTGAACCAATGGATGGAAGATCTTTCTATCTCCTTCTCTCTGTAAAATCTGACTTATCAATAATAATAAAAAAAATACTTTTTGGTTAAACATTAAAAACTAAATCTGGTTTAAATCAGAATTAAGCAACAAAAAGCAAGTTATTAGATGTTCAGAGTTGCCTTCTAGAATGTGAGACCAAAGAGGAATCATACCTCAAGACAGACTGACTGCAACAGCCGGCTAATCCAAATTTTGACATGTGCATTCTTACTCTTAACTCTTCCTCCCATTAAACAGTGAAACTTACTGCTTTGTGATAACCTTAGCAATTTATGACCAAATCATTCCTTAATTTACATTATCTTAATACCACTGCTGTATGATGATCAACTAGGTGACCCTGAATTCTATTCCTAAAACTATCATTGTAACAGCTCTATATGATGATTACCTTACCAGCTTTATGGTTAAGATATCTCATCTACTGCTTTGGCTTTTGTGATGTTCAAGGAGTCTGTATTTTATTCCATGTTATTTCTGAAAGAAGTTGAGCATACAGTAATTGTATAATGTTATGTGGCACAGTGCAATATTTTAACACAGCTTAGACTGATCAAATCAGATAATTGGTGTAAAGACTTGCTTACAATCCTTTTCATTAATGTTTAGAGCCTGCAGTCTCCTCTGTTCTATTTCTTTAGATAGTAAGTGCATATAATGTGTTACTACTAATTATAATTATCTGCATGCTCTGTGGACACTAGAAATTCTTATTTATGTGTTTTACACTCATTTTCTATTCTCTTTCCTCTCAATCTTTGCCATCTTCAGTTTATGGTAATTAGCATTCTGCATTCTGGTGGCCTATATTTTTAATGTTCACAGAGATAACATTGTATTGATCCTTCTGTGTTTGTCTTATTTTGCTGAGCATAATGATCTTTAGTACTGTTAATGTTACTGTACATATAAATATTTCATTCTGTTTGATAGGTGAATAATATTTCACCATGTATAAGCACCACAGTTTCTTTGTTCATTTATATATAGATGGACATCTTGGTTGACTCCATATAATGACTATTGTGAACAGTGCTCCACTTAACATGGACATGTAGGTATTGTTCCTTCTCTCATTCTCAATCAACTCCAAGCATAACAAGTATTTCTCTTTTATTGAAATTTTTGAATTTTATTTATTCATTCCTCAAATATTAGTATTCATCATGACATAACAGATACCACAGCTGGAAATAAAAGGAGGGCATATGATTTTCAAAGGAATGTAGAGAAAACAGAATACACAGCCCACCCTAGACCGTACATGAATGAAATGAAAGATAGTGAAGCATCAACCATATAAAGCATAGAATAACATCACAGATATGTATTGCTAATGTTAATACAACAAGTAGTGTAAACTACCCTATTGGAAGAAAAAGAAGCTAAATTGAGCATATAGCACAGTTAAATGTTCAGGATCAGTATTGAAATATGTATTTCATTATTTATTATTCATTGTTTCAATGCATTTCAGTGTTCATTGTTTCATTACTTCCATCCTACATTTAAGTATTACCATTGCCACAAATTATCCTAATGATATTGGGAAATGTACTCGACCTACCAGGTTTTGAAATTCCTTCTATATAAATGTTCCCCATGTTCTTTATATGTTAAGAAGAGCAAATGTGAATGTGAGAGCATCTTATGAAGCTAAATCTCATTGTAAAATACTTCTTAGACTAATTTGTGAAAATGTAATGATTCTAGATTTCTGTAAAAAACAAAATTAAACAAATTCCTGAGAAGATATTTTTATGTTTTACCATGTGAAGTATGACTATATTGTGTCATCATGGTGAAGGTCGTTTGAGACTTCCACGTGCTTTTCCATTTGCATGTCCCTTTATTTCTCCATGTTGGTGGTGTTTTCTGCTATCAATCACTGAACAGACCTTCTTATCCAGTCTTTCTCTCTCTCTCTTTCTTCACCTTAAGGAAATCCTACGATACATAGGTTTGTTCATTTGACAGTGTCCCATAAACATTTAACAGTATTTGAATTTTTCTAGATTTTTCTTCTTTTATTTGTTGTTCAGAGATATTTCAAGAATTTGTTATTTGTCTTGGGTATTCTTATTTTTCAGCCTGATGAAGCCTATTATTGAAGTTTTTCAGTGTTATTTTCTATGTAACATATTCACGTCAAAAATCTCTATCTGTTAGCAGGTTATTTTCATCCATAGCATATATGGATTGCTTTATGTTAATGATTTGTTTCAGTATGCTTTTTAATAATCTTGTGTTATTGTTTTCTCATTCTTTTTCAGGTGGTTCATCAATTTTTTTGTCTTCACATTATAATATTGTAGAAATGTTACATTGCTTTTGGGAGATTGTGATGTCATCTTTGGTATTGCCCTTATGCTTCTGTGTGCATTTATAGGCATTTTTGGAAACACTTGTTGATTTTCTTTTATGATGCTTTTTATTTTTAAATTACCTCTATGAGTTGGTGGAGTAACTGCTTCTTCATTGGAAATACAAAGGTGTATCGTCATTTGCCAGTGTACTCTGGCCAGTGCTAGAGTGTGTGGTGAGAATCTAAGATGGCACTTATGTTGAATATGATAAATCTTTTCATTTGTACAAAGAGTGTATGAAACGATTATAGCTATTAGCATAATCCATGCCTTAATTCCTCTCTTTCAGGGTACTCAATGTCTGGGGTTAGCCTGCCATGGCTAAAAATCTCACCCATACTAGCACATGAACTGATACAGAGGATTTCCGTGGTGTTTGTGTGAGCACAAAATCCTGATATGATTCAACTCAGGCAATCTGGGACCTCTTAGCCTCTGATTTCAGACATAAAGACTGTCCAGAGGCCCAGCCACATGTCACACCCTATCATGTGGTCCCACAATTCCCATAGTCTTTGTTTTCACAACTCCCACAGTCACTGGGAACTAGGATCTCCTAAACTTCACCAGTCTGCCCCACACATGGAGAGAGAAGGGTATTTCTAGCCCTAGCTACTTATATGCTGTCTGCCTTGGGAATTTGATAGTCCCTAATTTTTAAAATTTCTGTTTAGATATTAATTATTTTTTCCTTCTACTAGCTTTCGATGTGGAATCTTCTTTTCTGGCTCTTTGAGATTAAACATTACATTGTTGGATATATGTAGGTTTTCACTGCTGTTGATTTTCCTCTTCTTACTGCTTTTACAGTATCTTGTATGTTTTGGTATGTTGCTTCCACTTTAA